GAAGTAGATGTACCAGAGTGTAGGAATACTCTGTTACAAGTACAATTTCTGCATTCAAAATGCTACTCAAGTAAAAGTACAAAATGACTAGCTTTAAAATATACTTAAGTGTTGGGGAATATTTTGCTTAGGTGTTTAACCTTTGAAACAGTTCATCATTCTCTCCTTCCTCTGTCTCCTTTCCCATGGCATAGGTCTTCGGCCTTGGGGAGTGGTTGCTATCTCCTTTAGGGAGGAACTGGACCGAGCACAAGCTGACCTGAGATAATTTATTGTTTAGGAACATCCGGAAATCCTTCTTATCAGGTCCCACTGGCATACATTCTTTGGCCATGGACGACAGTTTTAGTTAGATTTAGTGTCCACACCTTTTTTACAATAATGATTGATGCATTAAAGTGTTATCAAAGCTGGTAAAGGAGCAGCTAGTTTTAATGACTTTGTATACTGCAGGGTAGCTTGTGAATTTACTCCAGGGGGGTATACTACGAATCTAGTTCAACATATCCTGGATATGTTTTGAGTTATCCGGCTGACTAAATCCTCAACGCTCTTGCTAAACTGTCCTACGACGCTGGCTATCACCTCGACCGCAAGCCAGCCGTGTCCTATCTAGTTAGGTGCGCGTTCACATAAAAGGGGTGGTATTTGGAGCATTCGACCAATCACAAACATGGACAAGCCGTGTACTGACAGCGCAGCGCGTCATATATTTCCTGAATGAAAAGTCAACTAATATTAGACAAATATGAAGACGTTAAACTTTAAACATCCATGACTTAAACACTTTATCCAGGATAAAAGCCACATAGCTGCACCTGCAAGGTGAATACTGCTGGTAAAAGAAAAAGTGTTTGAATACGTTCATTAACAGTTTTATGATATCACTGCTGCCCCGTCCAAGACACGAGTGGATCTGACTTTAATTACATTTGACTCAAGTGTTTCGTCAACTTAATGTGTTGCTTAAAATAATAATTCTGCATACAGTATGTGACACTGTGAGTGTTGCACGCCAGATACAGCTGACTCAGATAAGGAAATATATGATACATTATGATGTGATATCATGTGATATGAATGATAATGTGGTACGTCTGCACTCACAGTGCCGCGGACTGTAGGTTACTTATGTTGTGGCAGATATTTAAGTAAGCTTTCTTAACGCTAATGTTATAATAGTCAGATTGCTCTGAAGATGGGAGGTGATATTCTATTCATTTTCACGTTCACACAGTCGGTGATTTTGGCCGACTGTCTTTCCTGCAACGGCAGTTTAAACTGTATTTCCTTTCTCCTCCTGTCATATGAATTGATCGCTTTAAACTCCGCACACTGAGCTCTGATTGGTCAGCAGGCAGTGCTTTTATCCTGGAACCTATCCTGCTCCGGAGGCTAGCCGTTCAGAATAAGTTATCTAGCCTGCTAAAAAGTGAACCAGCTTCGTAGGACCGGAAACCCCTGAAGTTAGCTTGCTAAACGAAAATCTTGCTTCGTAGTATAGCCCCCAGGTGGAACTAAAGTCTGATTTAAGACTTGATTATATTTCACATCATTAATCCAAATATGTAAAGTAACTAAAGGTACTAAATAAATGTAGTGGGGTAAAAGTACACCATTTACCTCTGAATTGTAGTGGAGTAGAATGGAAATACTCAAGTAAAGTTCTGATTCTAAAATCAAACAAGTATCTCAAAATTGTTCTTATTACTTGAGTAAATCTACTTAGTTACTTAACACCACTGAGTGTATATCTCTAACAATGATGTTGTTGGTGGATATAATGCCACTGAATATAGTTGTTTACAAGTTCATTACTACAGGTAGGGAAGATAATGAATATAATGATATATGATGTTTGAAAAACAAAGCATGCCATGCCTTTAAGGAGTAGACATTTCTCCCTGAATGATCGCTAGAAATGAGTTGAAGAAATTGTAGAGAAGAGTCAAATGAAAGTTTAATGGTAATTTAAACATTATGCTTCAATTTAAAGGAAATACAAAAACAAACACTTTGAGCATGACACAGAACATCAACAAACATGGAGTTTGAGGTGTCACAAGCATTATGTCATAAATCCCATGTTTTTTTTGTTATGTCGATCTGTACAACCACCTGTGGGTACATGATGAGAACACAAAACAACACATATTAACCTCTAATATTTTAATGTTGTTCTGTAGCTTTTTTTAAAGCTTAGATCCAGTCGGTGAACTCCCTGATGTCATCATTGTCGGGAGTCCAACGATTGTAAAACAGCTCTTCCAGCAGTTTGGCATCCTCCACTGCATTATGAGCATTGTATCGCTCTCCCAGGAAGTAGCGGACCAGATACGGCTGATTAAAACGTTTCAGTTGAGGATGGAGCTTCCTGCTCAGTGGTAAGGTATCCACAAACCCAGACACCACCTGTTTGAACTGCTCAAAGAGAGAGAACTTCCTCAGCACTCTCATGAGCACAATTTGATCAAATCTCCATGCGTTGTGGGCCGCCAGCAGCACGGGGCCGGGGAACCTGCAAAGGTATTTGATGAAGGATTTTAAAGAATGGTAAAGAGACACAGTTCTCACAGGCTCTCCGTGGAGGAACAGTTGGCCATAACTGACGGTGAGGCCGTTCACTTCTGTAGCTCCGTATTCGATGGGGATGCGGGGGAGGATGTAGCGGTTGAAGATGGTATGGTGTTCACAGCTGGCCCCCAACTGGACGATGTGACACGATTTAGCGTCTGCATGCAAAGAAGGAATTCATGTAATACAAAATATAAAAAGATATAGTCAAAATGATATAGTGGTCATCTTTTGTTCATCAAACGGCTTAATGTTTCACATTAGAAGAAGCGGCTCAAAGCCAAAGGGACTTCAACTACATTCTTATACAGAATACTTTGATATTCTGTAAAGGACAGACCAACTTAACGACCAAGTTGAGATACAATCTTTTCAACAACAAAGACTAGTTAACGACCCTCATAAACCCCCAAGACAAGAAGCAGACCCTAGCAGAGAGTTTTAAAACAATACAGGATGGGGGCTGGTGGAGGTGTTGCATCCCCCCCTCCCTCCTAATCTGTGCTCCTTTCTCCCTTTCCACTTCTGAAGATCTCCTTAAAATAATTAAAAGAAATCAAGAAAAATAAAAAAGACAATTTAAGCCATTTTGACATGCCATCTACACAACTAATTGCAGTATACTAATTATGAACCTTTGAGCTCATTCAAATAATAAATATATCAATAAATCAATAAATATTGTTAACAAAGTGATCTATGGCATACTGTTGCCCCTCAGGCAACAAACTACCTTTTTGGTCCTCACACAGACTCTTTAATTTTTTTTGAAAATACATTATTTAGAATTTTACAATACCAGACATGTCTGTGTTCACTTAAATGAGGGGTTGGTGTGTGTGTGTGTGTGTGTGTGTGTGTGTGTGTGTGTGTGTGTGTGTGTGTGTGTGTGTGTAGGTGTGTGTGTGTGTGTGTGTGTGTGTGTGTGTGTGTGTGCGTGTGTGTGTGTGTGTGTGTGTGTGCGTGCGTGCTTTTGTTTCCTAACCATCCAGTCAGAAAGAGATACGCCCAAAAACAAAAACACACACACACGACCCCAAAGCTCCCCACAAATACGAGAAATAATGTATCCTAATAAGCAACTATAGTAAGTATTAATAAACAGACATCAAGTAATTGTTATTTACGTAATCCTGTGGTCTCAAGGTCAAAGAAAACGATGGTACCCTGCCGAGCCATCTGCATGAATGAAAAGAAAAGGACATTTGAGCATACATTCACATATGCAGTGGACAAAGCATTAAAAGATAGTAGTCAAAACGCGTATAGCTTTCAAGATGTATGCTAGCTAATTCAAAGTAGGAGTAAAGTTAGGCGACTGATAAAGTCGGAAATGTATAAAAAAAGAGAGAAAAGATGCCAGAACTCACCGTGGACGCTGAAATAATCCTGTCACTGCCACAAAACCTCCACAAACTGAACTCAACTAGGAATATAAATGCTTTTTTGTTATTTTTTCAGTTTCCTCGTGTACTGGACCTGCCTGTCTTGTCTTGTCCGCCGCAGCTGCAAAATTAAGCAAGTTTCCAGTGAATGTAGAAAGTTCCCTGCAGTTCGTTTAGGTTCAGTTTCAATACAGGTCTACGGGTTTGACCCGACTTGGCCCAGAGTTCAGGCTGCTGTCGTCACAGTTTTGTGGAAAACGAATGAAACTAATGTTGGTTTTAAACTAAATAATCATAATGTTGAACTGTCCTGCTCTGCTCCCAGACCGTAAGTGAGGGATACTGGGGACTACCCTCTGAACATCGGGGGTGTTGACAGATGTGCTGATTAAGTGGCCGTGACACCTACAAATCCTGCCTCCATGAAATGTACCATTGTTAACTACATTTATGATTGGCTTGAGTTTGTTTGGATGGAAGTAAGTGTTTCTAAGAAATGTATTACCAGATATCCGAAACCAGACATAAATCATGCTGAACTTTTGAACAATACTCACGCTTTACGTCTCGGTTTTAAAAAGTTTGCATGCAACATGTCACAATAGGAGAGGCTCTGTGGTTTTGACACCTTGAGGACTGTTAACAAATGAATCAAGTCTTGGTGCCTCTTGTCTTACAGGAGCCATCTGCAAGGGCATGCACAGTTCCAACAGTATATGATAACAGTAGCAAACAGTATTTTCCCCCAACAATAATTATTGATGCATTAAAGTGTGATCAAAGCTGGTAAAGGAGCAGCTAGTTTTAATGACTTTGTATACTGCAGGGTAGCTTGTGAATTTACTCCAGGTGGAACTAAAGTCTGATTTAAGGGTTGATTATATTTCACATCATTAATCCACATCTGTAAAGTAACTAAAGATATTAAATAAATGTAGTGGAGTAAAAGTACACCATTTACCTCTGAATTGTAGTGGAGTAGAAGTCCAAAGTAGCATAACATGGAAATACTCAAGTAAAGTAAAGTTCTGATTCTAAAATACAAGTATCTCAAAATTGTTCTTATTACTTGAGTAAATCTACTTAGTTACTTAACACCACTGAGTGTATATCTCTAACAATGATGTTGTTGGTGGATATAATGCCACTGAATATAGTTGTTTACAAGTTCATTACTACAGGTAGGGAAGATAATGAATATAATGATATATGATGTTTGAAAAACAAAGAATGCCATGCCTTCAAGGAGTAGACATTTCTCCCTGAATGATGGCTAGAAATGAGTTGAAGAAATTGTATAGAAGAGTCAAATTAAAATTTAATGGTAATTTAAACATTATGCTTCAATTTAAAGGAAATACAAAAACAAACACTTTGAGCAGAACACAGAACATCAAAAAGTATGCGCATTATTTAACATGGAGTTCGAGGTGTCACAAGCATTATGTCATAAATCACAAGTTTTTTTTTGTTATGTCGATCTGTACAACCACCTGTGGGTACATGATGAGAACACAAAACAACACATATTAACTTTCGTATTTAATATTTTAATGTTGTTCTGTAGATTAAATCCAGTCGGTGACATCCTCGATGTCATCATTGTCGGGATCCCAATAATTGAACAGCTCTTCCAGCTGTTTGGCCTTCTCCACTGCATTATGGGCATTGTATTGCCTTCTCAGGAAGTGTTGGACCAGATGCTGCAGATTACAAGGTTTCAGTTGAGGATAGAGCTTCTTGCTCAGTGGTAAGGTATCCACAAACCCAGACACCACCTTTTTGAACAGCTCAAAGAGGGAGCACTTCTTCAGCACTCTCATGAGCACCCTTCCATGAAATCTCCTTGAGCTGTGGGCCGCCAGCAGCACGGGGCCAGGGAAGCTGCCAAGGTAGTTGATGAAAGTTGTTAAAGAATAGTAAAGTGTCATAGTGCTCACAGGCTCTTCGTGGAGGAACAGCTGGCCATATCTGAAGGTGAAGCTGTTCACTTCTGTAGCTCTGCGTCCGATGGGGATGTGGGGGAGGATGTGGCGGTTGAAGATGGTATTTTTACAGCTGGCCGCCAACTGGACGATGTGACACGATGTAGTGTCTGCATGCAAAGAAGGAATAAATGTAATACAAAATATAAAAAGATATAGTCAAAATGATATAGTGGTCATCTTTTGTTCATCAAACGGCTTAATGTTTCACATTAGAAGAAGCGGCTCAAAGCCAAAAGGACTTCAACTATATTCTTACAGAATACTTTGATATTCTGTAAAGGACAGACCAACTTAACGACCAAGTTGAGATACAGGCCCAGGCTCCACGGGAACGCATACGGCAAAACGCATAGGATTAACGCAAACGCAATCGCCAAAAAGCTTCCGTCCACACGCAATATACACCGGATAGTGTCTTGCCACACGAGACGGCTCCGTTTTGATCCAACCGCTGGAAAAGCTGCAGTACATATGCCGAGCCTGTACGTGGCGCTGTAACTTCCTCCACAAAAGCAGCAACTTCCTCCACAAAAGCAGCGAAGAAGAATGGTTGTCATGGCTGCACTTCTGTTTATTCTCCGCGGTGGGGGCCAAGGGAACCGGGCAGAGTTTTTCGCCGGTCAACGTGTGTTAAAGTTTAAATCTTCCGGACAAAATTATAAAAGTGCCGGTCAAAGGTCTTCTTTGTTATTTATTGAGCTTTAAAATAAATGAATAACGCCGATATAATGATATATAATAATAAAATACACGGAGCCTGTCTCTTTTTCCTCTCTTCTGACAGCGTCAGTGTCTGTCTCATGCAGCAGCTGATCCAGTAATGATGACTCGACAGTAAAAATAAACATATTTATAACTAGTTTAGGTAGTTTGAGAGGTAATTAAAATAGCTAAGGGTGATGATCTGACTTGAAGTGTGTGTTTTGCTCCCGCTGCATCACAGCGGGAGGAGCTGCGTGTCTCCGCCCTGTCAGATTAGACTTCACTCGCGTTTATGTCCATATCGAGATAAAGATAAATAATCTGAATTCAGTGTGCAGTGTACTTTTGCGGGGGTGAGCAGCAGAGGTGGGGAGAGGCGGGGCTATTGCGTCGTCATTATCAGAAACGGATGACCGTATAGGCTACCACAAGGCCCCGTTGGACCCCCCAGAGCGCTCCGTTCCCAGATCTATCCACCTTTGGACCCGTTGTCGTTTGCAGGGTCCGTTTCTACCGTTCCATTACGGCGTCGTGTAGCAAAAAGGGCTATACGCAAGAGAAATATGCGGATACAACCCGTTTTCGTTCCCGTGGAGCCTAGGCCCTAATCTGTGCTCCTTTTCCCCTCAGTCAGAAATGGGTTTATTGCCAGGTAGGATCACACGTACGAGGAATTTGACTTGATGTCATGGTGCATACATAAAATATATAACAAAAAATCTTTAAAAAGTACACAGATAGCGAACTATATTAAGAACACTGTAAAAAAAAGATCTCCTTAAAATAATTAAAAGCAATCAAGAAAAATAAAAAAGACAATTTAAGCCGTCTACACCAGGGGTTCCCAACCTTTATTGTGCCAAGGACCGGTAGATGAGTGATTCTACAATTTAGGGTACATTCCATGTCCATTGATGTCCATTGATGATAATTATAATTATTCTAAGTATTTTCTTCAAAAATATCATATTTTGCCTATTATTGGAAAGCATGTTATAATATCACACAAACATTATGTGCATCCTATGCTTTATTTAGCTTGAAATGTGTCATGATGTTCTTAAATTGTCAATTTTTGCTCTGTCCGTTTTTCAGTTGAGGGTGTCTTGGTTTCAAAATAATGAATAAAAACCATTAAAGTAAATTAAAAAAAAGTATTCATTTATTTCAAAAGTCTAAATACTAAAGAATAATAACATCTTTTTAATTGATTTCCTCCTTTAAATAATTTAAATATCTTAATATATGAATGTCCGCAAAAGTTCTGTCAACTATGTTACTAAGAGAACTCCCCCCTTTAACTCAAAAATGGTTTGTCCCAATACCACCAGCATCACATGATGCCATGTTCCTCTTTGGCAGACATTTTGAACACACTGTGGTGATTGTCCTCTAATTTTTTACAATATTTTATGTATAATAGCACATGGTCAATTAATATACTCATTGACAATCAACAATGTTACGTACATTGTTATGGTTTACAATTGTTTAATGATTTTAATTCAATTATATGTTCAAATGTGATGTTAACCTGTTCAAGAAAATGACATGTGGTCATCCAAGCAAGGCCTACCATTGAAATGATGGGTCGAAATAGGGAAATTGTCAACTAAGTTACCTGTCAACTGAGTTACCCAGTACTGTAATAACTGTAGTAACTTAGTTGACAGGTAACCTAGTTGACAATTTGTAGGACATGTAGACGTCATTACACATCATTATCAATGGAATTTTGCACTTCTGCCTTGAAATTAACATAGTGCTGATGGTTAATAATGTGTCCAGTCAACTATTTTATTTGCGTCAAATGTTTGACTTTCATTGTCAACTATGTTGCACCTCATTTTTTCAAATTTAAAATATCTAAAATAGTGCTTCTGATATCCTTTATAGTATAATGTATATCTACACAGGTTGGAGTTTTACATGACATCTCTTAAAACTATCAAAATGACCTGTATGGTAGTTTTATAATACAAAATATCCCTAAACTTAATGACAGTGCTGAACATATCACATGAAAAAACAAAACTTTAATACAATTATTTTTTAAACTTTAAAAAATCTTTGGATATATGGTAGAATAGACTCAAGAGCCTTTCAAATGTGATTTTACTTGAAGTGCAGGACTTAATCAAATGATTGTAATGACATCAAGTTTGTCCGTAACATAGTTGACAAACTGAGTAGTGAAAACATCCTTTCCCTTAAAATAAAATAAAATAAAAAAATGTTTAAGCTTTGCAACTAGTGGATATGTTACACTGAAGAATATACTAACTTGAACCACTGATTGTTCTATTGAGAAAGAACACTTTCTTTGTACTGTTTTGTTGATGTGAAATGCACCCTAAATTATAGAATCACTCAGATACATTAAAAAAAAATCGCGGACCAGTTGTCAATTTTAACTGATTTTAATATTTACTCACCACCAGCAGGTAGCAACAGAGGCTAATTGTATGTAACAGCCTGAACAAATACTAGAACAATATGCATCCAAAACATATTAACAAAGTTTAAAAAAGAACCGGTGTTGTTTTTTGGTTTTTCGGAAAACCAAAAAACCGATGTTATTCAGTTTTTAAACCAAAACGGGAAAACAGATAAATCAACGTTTTGGTTTTGTTTGATTGATTTACGGATAATCCAGTGAATGCTGGGAAAACGAGGAGAAGGCGCATTATGAAAGAGATGTCCGGTCGCCAGGGTGTGTGTGTGTGTGTGTGTGTGTGTGTGTGTGTGTGTGTGTGTGTGTGTGTGTGTGTGTGTGTGTGTGTGTGTGTGTGTGTGTGTGTGTGTGTGTGTGTGTGTGTGTGTGTGTGTGTGTGTGTGTGACACTGGCATTTGTTTTCAGAAGATATTATGATAATGTCGTTCGTTCCGGTGCACTCCCGACAGCATTTAGCACTACTTCGAGATTAAGATTAAACTAATTTATGTTGGGAACAGCCGCATATATGCCGGTGTCGGACAGACACAAACACATCGAACACACAGAGCTGAGCTGAGCAGAGCACACATCATGCGCCTTGGTGACTGACTGGACATCTCCTTCATAAAACTAATAAAAGGGGGAGTAATCGGGCAGTTCGATGTGTGTAGATGTGTGTGTGGTTAACACGTAGCAGCCTGCAGTCACTCTTAAACTGTTCTGATTAAGTTAAACACAGCGAAGGCGGTGCGTAAAAAGGCACAGCTCTTTACCGAGTACGTCCCGCTGCCTCCTGATGCTGCAGCCATGTCATGAAGTGAAGGAGGGTTTCCTTCTATAAAACAGCTGCGGGCAGCAGATACCGTGAGAGTCCCGGACATTAATTCATAGATCAAGGCAGACTGGTTTACTCTCCTGTTTTGCCAATCCGGTGCTTAAACAAATAGCTCCCTCTACACCCCTGGTCGACATGTCCTTAAAATGAAGTCCGAGTTTGAAATCTATCTCAAATAATGTATGCACCACCATTTCCCCACATAAACATAACAGTCTGCAATCAAACGGTTGTCTCCTGTGCGCTCCTCTTCCTACTTGGCGCACCGGTAACATGCTCGTGCGCACAAGAGGCTGAGACCTTATGAGCTGCCGAATCCCTCGGAACATCATAAAAGCCATTTTCAACGGTTTTCTGGTGAAAGATTAACTAGCTACTGGATGAAATAATATGACTGGTGGCATAGGTGCGAAAATTATGATAAAATATTTTTATATATTTATCATTCTGCAAATATTACGATAAACTCACAGCTATTTCGCGGCCCGGACCGGGGGTTGGGAACCCCTGATCTACACAACTAATTGCAGTTAATTATGAACCATTGAGCTCAATCAAATAATAAAAATAAATATTGTTAACAAAGTGATCTATGGCATACTGTTTCTCACACACACACACACACACACACACACACACACACACACACACACACACACACACACACACACACACACACACACACACACACACACACACACACACACACACACACACACACACTCACTCCAGGGACCCCAAAGCTCCCAAAAAATACGTGAAATATTTTCTCCTAATAACCGTAAGTATTAATAAACAGACATCAAGTAATTGTTATTTACCGAATCCTGTGGTCTCAAGTTGAAAGAAAACGATGGTACCCTGCCGAGCCATCTGCAGGTATTAAAAGAAAAAGACATTTTAACATACAACATTCACTTATGCTTTGGACAAAGAATTAAAAGGTAGTAGTCAAAACGCGTATAGCATTCAAGATGTATGCTAGCTAATTCAAAGTATAGTAAAGTTAGGCGACTGATAAAGTCAGAAATGTATAAAAAAGAGAGAAAAGATGCCGGAACTCACCGTGGACGCTGCAATAATCCTGTCACTGCCACAAAACCTACCCAAACTAAACTCAACTAGGAATATAAATTGTTTTTTGTTATTTTTTCAGTTTCCTCGTGTACTGACTGACCTGCCTGTGTTGTCTTGTCCGCTGCAACTGCAACACTAAGCGAGTTTCCCGTGAATGTATAAAGTTCCCCGCAGTTCGTTTAGTTTCAGTTTCAATACCGAGTGATTCTACAATTTAGGGTACATTCCATGTCCATTGATGTCCATTGATGATAATTATAATTATTCTAACTATTTTCTTCAAAAATATCATATTTTGCCTATTATTGGAAAGCATGTTATAATATCACACAAACATTATGTGCATCCTATGCTTTATTTAGCTTGAAATGTGTCATGATGTTCTTAAATTGTCAGTTTTTGCTATGTCCGTTTTTCAGTTGAGGGTGTCTTGGTTTCAAAATAATGAATAAAAACCATTAAAGTAAATTAAAAAAATTATTAATTTATTTCAAAAGTCTAAATACTGAATAATAACATATTTTTAATTGATTTCCTCCTTTAAATAATTTAAATATCTTAATATATGAATGTCCGCAAAAGTTCTGTCAACTATGTTACTAACAGAACTCCCCCCTTTAACTAAAAAATTGTTTGTCCCAATACCATGTCACCAGCATCACATGATGCCATGTTCCTCTTTGGCAGACATTTTGAACACACTGTGGTGATTGTCCTCTAATTTTTTACAATATTTTATGTATAATAGCACATTGTCAATGAGTATATTAATTGACCATCAACAATGTTACGTACATTGTTATGGTTTACAATTGTTTAATGATTTTAATTCAATTATATGTTCAAATGTGATGTTAACCTTCAAGAAAATGACATGTGGTCATCCAGGCAAGGCCTACCATTGAAATTATGGGTCAAAATAGGGAAATTGTCAACTAGGTTACCTGTCAACTAAGTTACCCAGTACTGTAATAACTGTAGTAACTTAGTTGACAGGTAACCTAGTTGACAATTTGTATGACATGTAGACGTCATTACACATCATTATCAATGGAATTTTGCACTTCTGCCTTGAAATGAACATAGTGCTGATGGTTAATAATGTGTCCAGTCAACTATGTTATTTGCGTCAAATGTTTGACTTTCATTGTCAACTATGTTGCACCTCATTTTTTCAAATTTAAAATATCTAAAATAGTGCTTCTGATATCCTTTATAGTATAATGTATATCTACACAGGTTGGAGTTTTACATGACATCTCTTAACCTGTTCCACTCTGAGCCTGTTTTTCAGGTCTCAGGCTCGAAAATGACATTCCCAGAACAAATGACCATATCTTCCCTTCTAAAAGGGTTAAATTAATAATCTTTTTTCTCAAAGTAATGATAAACCTGTGAGTTGGATGTAGAAGTGTCAGAATCAATATAAATGTTTTTTATTTTAAAGAAAATTCAGATTTTACATAGTAAAAAACTGTAAATTATAGTGTCCGTCCAAAGATTATTTTTTACAGATAGTGAAAACTACCCTTGGATGATGGGTTAGTAGACTAAAAGCTTTAGGAATCCAAAGTACAACATATAATAAGTACCCTGTATCAAGATTGATGCAAAACAAGTGAAATTTGACCTTTTTAGAGAGATTTAGCCAAAAACTGGGCCATCTGGGGTCATTTGGGTGGATTTGACCTATCTCTGGCCCCCCTTGCTCGATCTGGTTGGTTGACATACCCTTGTGACCGTTAGAGCCAATAGAATCGAAGGAGGAGACTCACATACACATACATTGTAAAGAAAAAATGTGGCCGCTTCGCGTGTGGAAAGCGAAACTAAACTGGAGGAATGTCTCCTTCTGGAGTTTGGAAACTAAAACGCAGTTGTATTGCTTATGGATTATCAGAAATAATTTCAAAGAAGGCACAGACACATAGGATGAACCTATGGATTAACTGCAGCATCGTTTTTTTATCGTTTTAATGCCATTGAAGACCACTTTTGACCAAGGTAAGCCATATTTACATGTTTAGCTTCTTAGCTCCACATGTGATGATGTACGCTTTCGTTGATAGCGTCGCGAATGTTTATCACTGAGTGTTGAGGTGGGCACCGGTAGATTCAGTGTCTCCAGGACACCAAAAAAGAGTGTTTGGTTGTGCATCTAGGATAAGTAATAAGGGAGTTATGAGTGAGTTTAAGTGCCTTTGTAGGTCCCGTTTTTTCGATCGAGGCTAATTCAGAGGCTGAGTGCTAGCATTGTGGGGTTTTTTTGAAAAAAAAAATTAAAAAGATCAGTTAGCTGAGTTTCTTCCCGTTACATGGATATAACACATTCATAGTTTTATTCAATATTAAGATTCCTTAGACGTTGTTTCCTGCAAATGACGCGTTTATCCGCCCGGTACCGGGGGGAAGGTGTGAAACAGGTTAAAACTATCAAAATGACCTGTATGGTAGTTTTATAATACAAAATATCCCTAAACTTAATGACAGTGCTGAACATATCACATGAAAAAACAAAACTTTAATGCAATTATTTTTTAAACTTTAAAAAATCTTTGGATATATGGTAGAATAGACTCAAGAGCCTTTCAAATTTGATTTTACTTGAAGTGCAGGACTTAATCAAATGATTGTAATGACATCAAGTTTGTCCGTAACATAGTTGACAAACTGAGTAGTGAAAACATCCTTTCCCTTAAAAAAAAAAAAAGAAAAAATGTTTTGAAAACTAGTGGATATGTTACACTGAGGAATATACTAACTTGAACCACTGATTGTTCTATTGAGAAAGAACACTTTCTTTGTACTGTTTTGTTGATGTGAAATGCACCCTAAATTATAGAATCAGTAGGTCTACGGGTTTGGAGAGAAATGTAGTTTGTTGCCTGAGGGGCAACAGTATGCCATAGATCACTTTGTTAACAATATTTATTTTTATTTTTATTATTTGATTGAGCTCAAAGGTTCATAATTAGACCACCTCCACCAGCCCCCACCCTGTATTGTTTTAAAACTCTCCTATGGTCTGCTTCTTATCTGTGTCTCAGGTATTTGTGAGGGTCGTTAACTAGTCCTTGTTGTTGAAAATATTGTATCTCAACTTGGTCGTTAAGTAGCTGGTCTGTCCTTTACAGAATATCAAAGTACTCTGTAATAATGTAGTTGAAGTCCCTTTGGCTTCTAGTGTGAAACATTAAGCCGTTTGATGAACAAAAGATGACCACTATATCATTTTGACTATATCTTTTAATATTTTGTATTAAATTAATTCCTTCTTTGCATGCAGGCACTAAATTGTGTGAAATCGCCCAGTTGGGGGCCAGCTGTGAAAATACCTACTTCGATCACTACATCCTCCCCGGCATCCCATTCGAGCACGGAGCTACAGAAGTGAACGGCTTTACCATGGCCGCCTGTTCCTCCACGGAGAGCCTGTGAGCACTGTGCCACTTTATTATTCTTTAACAACTTTCATCGACTACCTTGGCAGCTTCCCCGGCCCCGTACTGCTGGCGGCCCACAACTCAAGGGGATTTCATGGAAGGGTGCTCATGAGAGTGCTGAAGATGTGCTCCTTCTTTGAGCAGTTCAAAAAGGTGGTGTCTGGGTTTGTGGATACCTTACCGCTGAGCAAGAAGCTCCATCCTCAACTGAAACGTTTTAATCAGCAGCATCTGGTCCAACGCTTCCTGAGAAGGCAATACAATGCCCATAATGCAGTGGAGGATGCCAAACAGCTGGAAGAGCTGTTCAATTATTGGGATCCCGACAATGATTACATCGAGGATGTCACCGACTGGATCTAATCTACAGAACAACATTAAAATATTAAATACTAAAGTTAATATGTGTTGTTTTGTGTTCTCATCATGTACCCACAGGTGGTTGTACAGGTCGACATAACAAAAACGTGTGATTTATGACATAATGCTTGTGACACCTTGAACTCCATGTTAAATAATGCTCATACTTTTTGATGTTCTGTGTCATGTGTCAGTGTTTGTTTTTGTATTTCCTTTAAATTGAAGCATAATGTTTAAATTACCATTAAACTTTCATTTGACTCTTCTATACAATTTCTTCAACTAATTTCTAGCCATCATTCAGGGAGAAATGTCTACTCCTTGAAGGCATGGCATTCTTTGTTTTTCAAACATCATATATCATTATATTCATTATCTTCCCTACCTGTAGTAATGAACTTGTAAACAACTATATTCAGTGGCATTATATCCACCAACAACATCATTGTTAGAGATATACACTCAGTGGTGTTAAGTAACTAAGTAGATTTACTCAAGTAATAAGAACAATTTGGAGATACTTGTATTTTAGAATCAGAACTTTACTTTACTTGAGTATTTCCATGTTATGCTTCTTTGCACTTCTACTCATCTACAATTCAGAGGTAAATGGTGTACTTTTACTCCACTACATTTATTTAATATCTTTAGTTACTTTACAGATGTGGATTAATGATGTGAAATATAATCAAGTCTTAAATCAGACTTTAGTTCCACCTGGAGTAAATTCACAAGCTACCCTGCAGCATACAAAGTCATTAAAACTAGCTGCTCCTTTACCAGCTTTGATAACACTTTACTGCAGGGCTTCTCAAACTCCGGACCAAGGTACGGATCCGGACCGAACCCTGTGTCCTATTATAAAAAAAAAAGAATTACAAAAAAAAAGAATTTCTGATTCTGATGTAAATTAAAGTGGACCGATTATGCTATATTGGAAAAATATATTGTAGGGCCATACCTATACAAAACATGTCTGTGAAGTTTTTTTTT